GGTGTGGGTGTTTCTCTTCCTCTATTACCCTCACACTCGCACGCACTTGCCACACCCTACACACCCACACCCACCCACCCTGACCACTATTGAACTAATATCATAATAATAAAATTTCAATAAGAGCTATTTTTGTTGAAAACCAGCTGGTAACATTTAGTTCATAATGAGTGTAGTATAAAAAATGGGACACTTTTGCATTTATTTTATTATCACTCCATACGTTGTATTAAAAAAAGACAAAATATACCAGAAGATGCAGCGTGAAAAGCTCTACAATTTATAAAGTACCGCTGATTTTATAGTTGTACTTTTTGTTCTAAAAATGGACAAAACTCTGAGCTATCAAATTTCAACGTTGCGAAAACAAAATTGTTTTTTTAGTAAAAGATGAATTCCGTTTTTCCTATCTCATATTTTTATTACTTGATATGTTTTATTTTAAAAAGTAAAATACACTGCAAGATGCAGCGTGAAGAGCTCTACAATTTACAAAGAACAACTATACAAAGATAAAAGAGAAAAAGACCGAATTCGTTTTTTTACCAAAAAAAGGTCTCGTTTTCGTCACGTCGAAACTTGATAACTCAGAGTTTTGTGCATTTTTAAAACAAAAAGTACAACTATAAAATAAGCGGTACTTTATAAATTATAGAGCTTTTCACGCTGCATCTTCTGGTATATTTTGTCTTTTTTAATACAACGTATGGAGTGATAATAAAATAAATGCAAAAGTGTCCCATTTTTTATACTACACTCATTATGAACTAAATGTTATCAGCTGGTTTTCAACAAAAATAGCTCTTATTGAAATTTTATTATTATGATATTAGTTCAATAGTGGTCAAATAGCATAAAAAGATAGAGTGAAAGACGCTCTATCTATTCATAAAAAAAGAAGATTATTTTAAGCCTTCTAAAAGAAAAAAAATAACCCCTGCCACTACTTTTGGACTGGTCTAAGTATATTAAGAATTTCATTTGATGAAGTCCCGCAATGGACAGAAACAACGTTGTCGTGGATTGGCAATGTTTCTATATTTCACACATCCACACCCACAATGTCCTTGAAGTCACTTTCACTATCAGTAGCGACAGAAATTATGAAGATAGTTTGTTGTGATTGATGATGAAAAATTTATTTCAGTCTTAAATTGATATTATAATTAACTGAATGTATGATTTTTCAGCTCATGTAGACAATGATACATTGTTTATGTCTATTGAATGTGTTTGATGATGTTCACAAGAAGATATAGAGATTATATTGGCAGTAGATATATTTATTAGAATTCAAAAAATGTTGAAAACTACAGAAAAATATTTACAAAAATCGCGATAATATGAGAGGACAGTGCAAATTAGTTAGATATATAAGGAAAAAAGGCTAACTAATTAGTGAAACATACGAGAATAGGGAACTAATCAATGGATAAAGTCTTTGGATTTTGATGTAGGTTGACGACAATGTCCGATTTTTGATATCGACTTGTCGATGTGCCATACGTCCTACAAAGAAAAAAAGAACGATAATAATCATCATTGAAACACTATAACGATATAGCTTACCTGGTTTAACGACAATAACAAAATTGACCACAAGTCATTTGACGACAAGGATTACAATTGTTTTTACATAACCAGTCACGTTTGTTGCGTAAATGATTGAGGAAGCTATTGTGATCATCACTTCCAACTGCCGGCACTGCTGCGATACAGATTGTTGCGACCAACATCAAGAGGGTGACCAAATAAAACATTTGGATGATCTTGTGCATTGTTATTTGTTGATGTTCGACGGTTGAAGAAGAGAGTGTTAGATGAATATGAAAAGTATGTAAATGATATGGTTCCACAGTCGTGCTTCGTCTTTATATATACGTAGATTGCCAAGAGGTAGATATGTATATATGTACAGATGTATTTTTTCTCATAGAGGGTGAGAGATAAATTTTGTTTTTTTTAGTGTAGAGAGGAGAGATAGAGTCACTGTTTTGTTCGTAAGGAAAGAGCAAGAGAAATTGAGTTTTTTTTCGTAGAGAAAGAGAGAGAGAGAGAGACAAAAAACATGTTGACATAGTAGCTGTCAGCGAAGATAAAAACTACATTAGGGATGAGAATGTGTAAATTAACACATATGATGTGTCCCAGTACTGACGAGGGAACATTTTTAAGTGTCCCCCTGAGAAGAGGTTTAAAACGATTCTATTCGGTAGAGATCTTGATGAACATCTCTAATATGAATGTCTTAGCTGCTTTCATATAGATCTGAAAAAAATGAGAGAATCAAACTTTTTCATTTTTATGTCCTTTCCTACTATCAAAGGTGTACTATTTTTTCACTTATATATGATTTGCAAGAATACTCAATTTTTTTCATAAAAAAAGCCGTCAAAAATGAGCTGAATGTGATATAAAACAGACATTTATCTCTCCCGAATAACAGTATTACATCCCTTTCTCACCATGTATGAAGAATAATTATTTGTATATGGGTGTGGGGTGTGTTAGCAGAATGACTTGTAAATAAAGTCAAATCAAAAGCTAGCAAGACCGATTTCGATAAGTGCTGATATTATACTTATCAATTGCTTTTAGATTATAAATTCTCCTACTGTAAGAGTCATAGTAAGAAGTTTTTGAGCAAACTCCTGAGCTAATAAGACAATTACAATATTATATTATCAGGTAAATGTAAAAAGAAACAAGTACCTAACAAAATTTTTTGAAGAGATTCTCCACTGTATGGGTGTGTTAGCAGAATGACTTGTAAATAAAGTCAAATCAAAAGCTAGCAAGACCGGTTTCGATAAGTGCTGATATTATACTTTTCAATTGCTTTTTACTCTAATATAAATGTCCTGCTGTGTGCTATTGGTGGATGCAAGTTTTTGGAGGATGGTTGCAAGCATAGAATATATATGGACACATTCGGAAGAAATGATCCTGAAAAAAGTAGGTTATGTTAAGGCTTTTCATACTTTGTTTATATTTGAAGTATTAATTGTTGAGTTGGTTTCGTAGTTTGTCGTTCCGAAGCCGAAAGTGTTATAGTGTATATATATGATTTTTTTTGAAGTGCAGATCTAAAATGGAAAACAGAAGTGAAATTTTTGTAACTTTCAAGTGAATAATTATCTGAGGAAGTAGGGATGCAGCAAAGGTATAAATGTTAACTGTAATGAAATACAAACTGATACGGTGAATATTGTAGTATCGTAATTTTTATAATAGGAAATACGAATACGTGTAGTTTATGAAAAGTTTCACATAGTGAAGGGAAAGAAATATGTAAATGAGAATGTTTAACAGTCGACAAGATCTAAGTAGTGAAGAAGAATAATAGATAAACAACATAAAAGAAACGGAACGAAAAATAACAGAGTAAAGTGTTTAGGATTTTTGATCAACAGCAAACATTTGTTTTATGGTTGGAATCGTTCTTGTATTGTTCGACAAGCTGCTTCTGTGGTTGGTTGGATTCTGGTCAACATATCACGTTTAGGCTTCTTGTGTATTAAGAGGCTTTGTAATGTGCGATTCAATATTGTGCCAAGTATAAGTCGTGTATTTTTGAAACGTGATCCTGGATAAACATAATTTTTTTCCCATATTTGACGATATTCTTTTTTGAAATCAATTAATGGTCCATTTTCAAATGTATAATGAAGATAAATTGGATCTTTATGTTCATAATTATTCCTGTGTGGAATTAAGGCAGGATTTGTTTGCACTTTGGATTTAAGTTCTCTTCGTGTTGGTTTGTAAAGTAATGCATTATGCAGCTGTTGATATGCTTCGCTATTGAGTTCAGTCCACACACTCATGGCATCATGTTGGATAAAGAAGTTTTTCATGTGTTGTTGTAGAAATTTTGGTGGATAACTATTAAGTAATAATATCATTTCTGTACTTAATCGTTCCACATCAAAATCTTCCACAGTGGAACAAAGACGTGCTGCTCTAACTAACATTGTATAAATTATATTTGCGTGAATATGTCGTGGATGATCAGATTCATAAGGTAGAATCAAGGGGAACAAACTGATTTCGATCGCTGAAATCAGTTTGAAATCACCTGAAATCAGTT